CTCTCTCTCTCTTATATATATATATATATATATATATATATATATATATATATATATATATATATATATATATATATACATATATACATATATATATATATATATATATATATATATATATATATATATATATATATACATATATATATGAGAAGTTTATTTAATTGGTTTCCGCGCTAAAAGCTGAGTTCTCAACAGTGCTCGTGCCTGTGTCCTCCACGGTGATTCCCCTGGACGACCTCCCCGTCTACAAGGTGGGCGTTGGGTTCGGCCTCGCCACGCCCGCCCCCGGCAAGTTCAAGCCCGAGGGCGGCACCAAGCTGATCACTAGTAAGTTGTCTCACTCATACGCTCTGTCTTATATTGCACGAGAACTGCGTTTAGTTGAGTATGTTTAGTGTCTTGCATTAATTTGACATGATTTCATCGAGTTTTTAATTTACCATACTAATGCGTTTCATCCCTTTAGTCACTATGAACTTTGCAATAATACATTAGAGTTCTATTTTTTAGTGGGGTCCCAATATATTACCTTTTCTTAGGCGTAATATCGCTCGGAAGAATTTTAGATCACCGTGTAGTAGATACAACAAAATAAGAAATGACTAAAACTATCATCCATCTCACCAAATATAAACTATCACAACATTACCGCGACGTTGCAACATCGTGCAATACTCAACCCCAGCAACCGCAACAGGCTCTAGAATATCCCCGCGGCGAGTCCTGATTGATGCCTGATCGTGACTCCGCGCCAGAAACCCGAGGGCGTTGGTTAACGCTACGGGTCCTCGCGCCACTGGGCCTCGTGAGAAGCAGAAGGGCCTTCGCTCTCTACGACGTCCCTCTACCGTTTGGCTTGACTTCAGGCCCGTGTGAAGTTATTATGCAACTTTTGGATAGCCTGTACACCGCGTTAAAACACAAAGTGCGAACTCATTATGCATAAATACGGCTTACAAACCAGCTCGCTATATATCATTCCGCGTAAAAATTATAACTTAACACTATAAAGAAATTGTTAGTTTTAATAAAGAAAAGACATACACAAAGGTTTCCACTACTCAACATTCGGGTTTTCTTGAATCGAAAACTTAGTTATCACAGGAATTAAAGTTATGATTCACTTTGCCACTTTTGCAATTATATCTCCGTCTTGTTCAGTCTTGCACGAGTTCTTCGTCTAACCCTGTATTATGAAATTTGCATAGTTTTCCAAGTCATTAACTGATTTTCATAACAATCATCTGAAGAGTGTGCTGTTGAAGTTTTATAAATCCTTGTTAATTGCATATAAATCAATATTTTTTTGCCGAACACTATTGGTTACTTCCTATGAATGCACACTACTTATTATGATACAAAGTATGTGTACCTGTCACGATCGCTCGTAAAACAATTCCACTACTTTTATTCAATACTCACTAAAGGTCGAATTATAATCTATAAAATATTCTTTACTGTGATAACGGAAATGCTTTATTTTATTTATTTATTTTGTTTAATCGCTTCGAAAAATTACTTAAACATTTCACATGACCCGCTGATGCATATTTAGCATAAAAATACTATTTTAGTTCAATTCAAGTATATACATTTTTGATTTTATCCAGTGTCGTATTTTCCATTAGCAGTAAATATAACTACCACGAATCTTACCCCCAAACCTATTCTTTCCAGTCCACAGCGTCAAGAACAAGGACAAGAAGCCGAAGGACTCCAACGCCGCCCTGGTTGAGGAAGTGACGAAGGAGGAATACCAGAAACTCACTGCCCAGTAAACAGCCGTCAAAAAATTCACTAACACAACCCAGTAAATAAAAAGAGAATTAGAAACAAAATCTTACCGATGTAGCGAATGATTAATAGATCCTGTATTCTACCAGGTCATTTTTTTACTCAATCCAAGATTAATTAAAAAAAACAAAAAAACTTTAAATTGAGAGAAGGTCGTGACGGAAGATTCTCGAAGGAAACGGCGGGGTGGAGTGCCTCCCTCGGGCCGAAGGGGTTCAAATGGGGCAAGAAGGGAACTAACGCCTACATTACGTTATCGGCAGCGAGGCTGGACCTGCACCCTGCTACGGGTGATGAGTTAGCCATGTACTGTTAAAGGTGTTCTATTTAGGCCAACTCACACCGAGATGAACTATTTGGGATTCGGGCTTCAGGGGAACAAATATTCTAATACCCGTTTGGAGACTTTTAGTTAAAAAGCCTCTTTATCGATGTGATAGGCCTTGCACTTAACCAAACTAGAGGCATAGCAGAATGTCGTGTTTTGTGACTGTACAGAAAATATGATACAGTTAAAAACAATAAACAGAAAGGTTCTCATTCAGTTAATCAGCTTGATAATACGTAACCGAATTCATATTCCAACATTCTAAAGGAAAAAGATAAAGCTTTATGAAACCTGTGCCATTATGAGAAACTTTACTGTGATCAAAAAAAAAATTATACGAAATATTATTTTCCCACTAATAAACCTAAGATACTTTTTCGTATTTTAATCACCTATTATGAAACCTGTCACATGATAATATGTACCATCGTTATTATGTTGTTAAAAGTTAATAACAATTATAGCGATGATGATGATAGTGACATCATCATAAAGCTAATTGAGGAGGCCAAGAAGATGCGCTCAATACCACAACAGGGAGTGTGGTTCAAGAATTCTGGGCTTGGTAAAGAGAAAGTGACGGGGCCGACCTGCTGCGGGCAACCGACTGGAAAATTCTATTGTTAAGAGGGAAACACCCAGGCCTCAGGAGAAATCCTCCAGGAACCGGGAGCAAGACAGTTGCAGAGGACGTCACACAATCATTCTCTATCTGTCTGTCTGTGTCTGTCTGTGTCTGTCTGTCTGTCTGTCTCTCTCTCTCAAACACACACTCACAACCGTTTGTACGTTCGCTAGTATCGCATACTTTCTCCCGAGAATTGCTCTCTTGCAAGATACCCAGATCGATAATAATTTCAGTAAATTTGTTTCCCAATAAATACAAAAAGAAAGAAAATATTAGAAATGAATGGAAATAGAATGGATGACCTATGTTATCAACGGTACATCAGGATAAGGATAAGTCCGATATGCGAAGCTGAGCCTCGCCCGGTCTATGCCCATGAGGAGAGCCAGGCCTGTGTCGACTAATGACACGCTAAACGTATGTCAGTTGGTGCTGACTCGGCTGAGATTAATCCTTACCCGCCGTGGTGCCCAGCCAGCAGTAACCTCCAGGCGACATTTGCCACTTCTCGTGCCTGGGCGGGGCGCGAACCGCCGACCCCTCGGATGAGAGGCCCACACGTTACCACTGTACTAGCCCGGAGGCTGTACATTAGGAGACAATACTGCTTAATACAATACTTAACTTTAACTTATATGTAATATGATTCAGGATGACTTCACACAATATCTACAACATCTGTACTGTTCGTGTATATTTACGTCCAATGCATTATAATCTTCGTCTACCATGAGTTGCTGGCATTTTTTGTAATGTTGATAATCATCAAACGTATTTATTCTGAAGCGTTTTGGAAAACGCACACATAATACATCTACGAAATTTATATAATTCAGTGGTCAATGGTCACAAAGAAAAGTAAATGTGCTAGACACCAAAGGTCATATAGCACTATAGAAAGGTTTAATAGTACAGAGTAAAGAGGGGGGTTAGTTGATGATTAAATGTGCTACACGTCATAAGTCGTATAACAGTTCAGAATTGTACTGATACTGCATCGTTTTCCATGCGGCAGGCAAGTAGGTCTTCACAATTGGGCCAATCCTCGTCGTAGACAGGGCAGTTTGTCGGGGAGACAAAGGAGGTGCAAGTAATAAAGGAAGGACGAGGTGGGCAGGAATGGGTCTGCAAGTAAAGTCTGTCAGGGTTGATAATGCTTTAGTTTGGGATTTAGATGTAACTGTAACATTGCCTACTTGTTTTTGGAGACTGGAAGAGGAGTGTGTTATCACAGTAAGGGGCTGCAGCGGGGATCACAAAAAATAGATCCTATTTTTGGGCTAAAGATTTGTAGAAGTGGGGGAGTAGAAGGACGGGACCTTGTGGAAGAGGGAGTGGTGTTGATGGAAGTAGTGTTGCGGAGAGGTGGATAATATGGCTGCAGAGTAGTAACAAAGGAGGAGGGGGTAGTAGATGAAGTAGAGGATGTTGGGAGAGGAGGAATGTTTCCTGGAGGTTGAGTAATGAGCTGAGTGGATGATTTGGACTGGACTGAGTTGATAGATGTTGAGGAGGGGTAGTAATAGTGTTCAGCCGTGGTCAAAGGAGAGCCTGGGATCAGGGAATCGGGCGGATTGAACCAGTGGGGCTAGCTTCGGTGCCTCTAATAGGGATACAAATTTTTCGTTACTGGCTATGGTAAGCTTGGAGTATGTTGGCGAAAGAAATGGTCCACCCCTCAGTGTCCCCTTGAGGGGTTACTGTGCCCATAGCTCTCCCAGGCCGTTCATGATTGGCATAAAATCAGCCTTTTATCCTTCAACATGACTCTCACACCTTACGAAGTGATTAATAAAAGTTGGAGAAGAAAAGGAAAAGTAGAGGGGAAGAAGAGACCACCATGCGAAAATAGAGGAGGCGAAGGCTGAGACCCAAAGCAGGGGTGATCCCTGGCATTAGGCCTGAGTCTCCGCCTCCTAAGCCCCCAACAGCAACAACGGACATGGGATTGGGGGTATACTAGTCAATAATGACGTGCATTTCGAAAATAAACTTGATTTACAATGAGACTTTCAAATTCGTTTTATGACCTCTAAGTATATAAAATTGTGATTTAATAAAACACAAGCTGTCTAGACCTTTTTATTATATTTGGTGTTTTGAAAGATTATAGAGTCGAAAAGGGGAATACATTTAACAAGAAAATAAAACAAAACAATTTGCATGAACTATTTCCAAATAAATCTGTTTTTCTTCCTATGACAAAAAAATCAATGAACAGTTGATTATGATATGTAATTAACTTAACCATGACGATGGATACATAACAATGAGAATATTTAGAATGAATGATGAATAACCACCTAGTTACAAATGAAATATAACCAAGGTCTTTGCAGGTAACACATAAGACTATCGGAATACCGCCTCACTAGCGCGTATTCCAACCAAACATTTCTTGGCTATGAGGAATAGTGGATGATTAGCCATTATGTACAGGATATACATACATTTGTTATATGCAGTAAATGTATATCATATATATGGAATGTTTTTTAACACCTGGAAAGGTGAACGTAAGGAGTTACGGAGGCTCGTTCGCTCTCTGGAAGAAGGGGCAGCGAACACATATTAGTATTTTTTCAATAAATTGTCTTCATTTTACGAATTTATAAGTAACACACATCCATATATTATATATAATTATACTGTACATGAAAATTAATCTTTGGATGAGAAAAGATCTATATAGATCACAATCTAACTGCAATGTACACCATACATGAAACACACGGTTGCTAGTACATGCAGAGCTAAAAGCACCATTCAACAACATCTTCAACTGGATTATTGATGTCTACAACATATGAATGTACAAAAGGAGTTGGTAAGTCACTTTGGAGATTGTAAGTGCTGGGCCTGCAGATAGTGTGAGCCTGCACTGCCCATTATTTTCTGCTTTATGACCTACAGTCAGCATTATCTTGTGCTGCCTGCACTGCTTGCTTCGCTAGCCTTCTAAAGCAAAGTGTTGCTTACACCATTGGCACTTACCTTACAGGCTGTGTACAAAGTCTTATCATGCAATGGCTCATCATATGCGATGTGGATCAAGCAGCCTTTTTTCGACCCTGCATTACCATTACCAGCCTTCTCGAATGGCCTGCAGCCGAGAATGTTCACACTAAAAGATTCTGGTGTCTACTTTATCACAAAAAATGTTTATGAACACAGTCTCCCTCCACTGTATGAATTTTGTACTGCCCAACACTCACTGGGATTTCAGGGTTCAACAGTTTTACATAAATACTATCACATGGGATACAGTCAAGGCCTCTTGGTCACTCTGTGCCTATAAATTTGTACTGATGCCGTATTATTATTAATATGCAAAGTTTAAAAAAATGACTAGAATACAGAATAGCATTAAATGAAATTTTTTCAGAGTATATAAAAGTTGAGCTTATAAACCCATAATGTTTTGGAATTGACATATATCTTCCAGCTTTTTGTAGATGATCGATATATGCAAAACAGTTCAATTTTCAATGACCATTATGCAAAAAATCAGAAGGCCCTCTACACTACCTCTCTCTCTCGCACAAGCCCAGCATTTCCAGCTGATCTGGCCTCTACGGTTTCCCATATGATAGTCATTTGTATTCCATACAAACCACCATTCTCTCAGTCCCACATATGGGAGAAAAAGAGACCCTTTCACACATTCTATTCCTAATGTCCGCAGAACTAACAGGAAATTTAGAACATGTACAGTAATTTGTTGTTCTCAGTAGTACCATTCAAAATCTTTCATTTTGTTACCCTTTGAATCAAATCAATAATAAATGCATTTACTCCTACCTCTTTGTTTTGTTCCTCTCGAAAAGAGAAGAAAAAGGGAAGATTTACAGGCTACATATACACAACTTCCCTTTACCTGCTTTGCTAAATTCCAAAGAGTATGAAAACTCTAAGCTATCACATTCAATCTCTCTCAATGATTTCCAACACCCATAACTCCAAATGAGGGATTTTTAATGTTGTATCAGGAGGAACTGACGAGAACTACTCCTGATGCTTTGCCTTATCAGTAAGACTCGATGAGTACTATAAGTTCTTGGCAGTACTTGTATAGACAAAGCCACATTTGCCTCACAAGGCAACATTGGAGCTGGCACTCAGACCTCTATTTCTACTTCTACCAGTACGTGAGGCACATGATCACAAGTGGGCAGAGCGGAGTAAAAAGCCGCTATGAGTTGAGTAAAGTTGACAGGCAAGGTATACAGATGGGCATAATAATGCAAAATTACCATGGCATATAAATCTACACAAGAAGTAATGATAAAAGAGTGATAGAATAAGAGGATCTCATCAAATAATGAGGTTAATATAAGACGGCAACATATCTAAGGGAGGAAAGATAGGTACTAGATGGGTGTTAGGCAAAAGTACGTAGTAAATATCAGGATGAAAGATTTCTATAAGTTAGAAAAAAAATAAGTAGATAGTACATGATAATCTGTACATCCATTAGAGTCAGAGATTGAATCAAAAGAGTCAAAAGGGCATATATATGCTTGACTTGAAGAGTAAAGCCCACTAGTTACCCTCATACTAGGGAGATACTAGATTTTATTTTACAATCTACAAGTGATGTATTTGTGTAATGTATTACATCTTTGTAACAAGAGTATCCATGATGCCTGGAACATTCATATTCCCATTCAGAAAGTTGCCCAAGAGGTATTAGTAGATCTGAGAAACAAGAGACCATACATTTTCATTTATGTTTACATATGGTACA